GCATAGAGCTGTGGGGCTGGCCAGGTGCTGAGGGCTGGGCAGGCTGTGGGCTGCATAGAGCTGTGGGGCTGGCCAGGTGCTGTGGGCTGGGCAGGCTGTGGGCTGGGCAGGGCTGCATAGAGCTGTGGGCTGGGCAGGGCTGCATAGAGCTGAGGGCTGGGCAGGGCTGAGGGCTGGGCAGGGCTGAGGGCTGGACAGGGCTGAAGGCTGGGCAGGGCTGAGGGCTGGGCAGGGCTGTGTCTGGGCACAGGCTAAGTCTAAGCGAGTCTGGATCTCACCCTCTGCACTCCCACTGGGGCTTCCACCCCTTCTTGCTGAGCGAGCTGTGGGATAGCGGAGGAGGCTGTGGGCTGCGGCGGGCGCTGGTTCCTGAAGCTGCAGGGCCTGCGTGGCGCTGGCCCTGGGTGCGGGTGGCTCCACGCGCCTGGGCTGCTGAGGTGGGCCGCACCCCTCCGCAGGGTCTGTCTGCTGGGGAACCGCACGCTGTCGCGACGCAGCTTCGACGTCTGTGCCAAGGTGGAGGTGGTCAGCAACGGGACGGTGACCACCGCGCTCTGGGGCCTCTTCTGCAACGGCTCCGGCTCCAGCGCCGTCTGTGACGAGTACTTTGTAGAGAACAACGTCACCCAGGTGCAGGGCATCCCCGGCGTGGCCAGCGGCGTCTTCCTGGGTGAGTGCCGGCGAGGGCTGGGTGCTGTCCGCGTGGGAGCTGTGTCTGCGGCCTCTCCCAGGGCCTTGCCTCCTGCCTGGCGAAGGCCGGGCTCCTGACCGGCCGGGCCTAAGGCTGGGTTCCTTTCCCAGCACTGCCAACCAGCCTGGTGGGCCCTGCCTGCCCCGTGCCCCTGAGTTAGGGAGGCCAGGGTCCCAGGCAGCCCGCAGTGTTAGAGCTGTTTGTTTCCGTGCTGCCATACCTGTCCGGGGGATGTGAACAGGAAAGGATCTCTTGGGTGGGGGCTGGCCCTGCTCACCCATGCCTCCCTCTGCTCTGACATTTTTGGAAAAGGGATCGTTCTCAGAGGACTCACATGCTTGTTCCCCTGGCTGTGAACTGGGTGTCCCCCAGGGCATGGTGTGACATCAGTAGGGGGCTGAGGACTGTGTCCAGCCTATGTGGGCAGGAAGGGTCAGGCACCTGAACCCCCACGGGGCGGGAAGGCTGGAGAAGGTGGGAAGCCGAAGGGCAGTAGATGGGAGGAGGTGTTGGGGCGCCTGTTCAGGCCCGAGCCACATCTGTGGCCGTGTGAGGCTGCACCGGGTCTGGCGGGGGTGGCCCAGGGCCTGTCCTCTCGGTGGCCGTGTGAGGCTGTCCGGGGCCTGCACTGTGGACTCCGGGACACGGTGGCTGCAGTGCATGAGGTCCCTCAGTGCCAGAGCTCACACCGAGGTTCCCACATGCCGCCGCCCCCAGGCAGGCCTCCTCTGAGCCTCAGGGGAAGAGCAAGCCACATGGCTGGGATGGAAGATTTCAGGATCCCTTGAAGAAGCTTCCAGCATGGCCTGTTCTCCCCACAGATAACCTCTGGGGCACCTACTCAGACAAGGGGGCCTTTGTGGAGAAGAAGGGCGTCCCCTCTGTGCCGGTGCCTGAGGAGGGCCGGCCCAGCGGGCTGCCGTACGTCCTCACCGACATCATGACGCACTTCACCTTGCTGGTCGGCATCTACTTCCCCTCTGTGACAGGTGAGCCTTCTCCCCAGTCTCCGTCTGTCCCCTCGGTCTGTGTCCGTCTTGTCCGTCTTTCGCCTGTCCCCTCAGTCTGTGTGTCTGTCTTATCCCATCTCTTCTCTGTCTGTGCCCTTGGACTGTGTGTCCGTCTTGTTCCGTCTCTTTTCCGTCCGTGCCCTTGGTCTGTGTGTCCATCTTGTTCTGTCTCTTTTCTGTCTGGCCCCCTGGGTCTCTGTGTCTGTCCTATCCCATCTCTTCTCTGTGCCCTCTGTGGGTCTGATTGGTCCTGCCTCTTCTCCGTCTGCGCCCCGTGCCAGTCTGACACCATCTCTTCTCCATCTGCCCTCAGTCTGTGTGTCTGTCTTGTCCCGTCTCTTTTCCATCCGTGCCCTCGGTCTGTGTGTCCGTTTTGTCTGATCTCTGGTGTTTGCCCTAGCTCTGTCTCTGTCTGTCTCCTCAGCTCCATGATGGTGCTAGCGGTGCAGCATGCACTGTGGGTTTTCCTGTCTGCTCTGCAGGTATCATGGCAGGATCCAACCGCTCCGGGGACCTCAAGGATGCCCAGAAGTCCATCCCCACAGGCACCATCCTGGCCATCGTGACCACCTCTTTTATTTGTATCCTTGAAGGGAGCGTGTGCTGGAGGGCTGGGCCTCCCTCAGCCTGTGAGGCCTTCCACGCTGGGGCTGCTAGCGTGTGACGTAGCAGCAGAGCCTGGCACCACTCAGGCCCTTTGTGGTTAGGCATACGATGGTATGTCACACACCACACCTGAGTTGACGTACAGCGTGACAGAGTGTGTGGCAGACACTAGCCACAGTCTCTTTTATGAAGCTGAGATTTCAGGAGGTGTTGTGTTGTCTCAGCGAGCTGCTCCTACTGACCCCCGAGGGTCATGCCACAGGCCACATCCCCTTTGGTTGCCGAAGGCTCTGCTGCAGCCATTGGAGATGGTGGAGATGTCGGACGGCGCTCTGAGGACATGGGGTTGACAGAGTGTGTCCCAGGACCCCTGACGACAGGAGACAGGCGGTGGGGCGGGAAGTCCGGCGCAGTGCGGGCCGGGCACAGCTAGAGGATGGGACCCCTGTGTCCACCCTGCAGTGTTCCCATGCTGTCCCTCCCTCCCAGGACGGACCGCTCCTTGACCCACACTGCAGATCTCTCCTGCATAGTGCTCTTTGGGGCCTGCATCGAAGGAGTGGTGTTGCGAGACAAGTACGTGCAGAGTTGCTGCTGGCTGGGCTGTGTACTCAGGGCCATCTTTTTCCTGAGGATGAGTTCACCTTTGGAATTAAAATCACCCCAAGACTTGGCTGATAGCTCTGGGATCAGGCTGCCCTCTGCCTGACTGAGGGGATCAGGTGTCTCCCCTCGTCCTGAGCCTGGGGGACTGGTCAAAGCAAAGCCGATGCCTGATGGGGGCAGGGGCAGGGAGGGCACTGTCGGGCTTTTATGGTAGTAGAGGAGTCCTTTCCACCAGAAGATTGGCTTTGAGGATCCAGGGCCCTGAGACCCATGGATATGCTGCTTCACACTCCGGGCTAGGCTGGGCTTTCTGTGCCGAGGGGGCCTGTGGGGTCAGGGCCACGTCGAAGCCCTTTCACAGGGTGTTGACCACGCTGATGGTCAGGCATCGTCTCTGGTCCTGTCCCCTCCGCGTCCCCTTCCCGAGGCCCAGGGGTTTGCAATGGGAACAAAGAAAGGGCTGACTGTGCCCTCCCCACCCGCAGGTTTGGGGAGGCCCTGCAGGGAAACCTGGTCATTGGCATGCTGGCCTGGCCGTCCCCCTGGGTCATTGTCATCGGCTCCTTCTTCTCCACCTGTGGCGCGGGACTGCAGAGTCTGACGGGAGCGCCTCGCCTCCTGCAGGCCATTGCCCGCGACGGCATCGTCCCCTTCCTGCAGGTGAGCTCTCCGCTCTGACAGACACTGTCCTCACGGCCTGGCGCAGATCTCAGACTTCCTTGGTTCTGTGTGCTTACTGCTTCACCTGCAGTCCGACCAGGGGTACTACTTCTGTCGTTTTGGGTTCTGTAAGCCTCATTCATTTCTGAGGGCCCATCGCTCTCAAAGCCGGAGAAGAATTCTGCCATAATTTTATTGAGTAGGTTTTTGATGCTTTCCATTTATATCTCTTCTGTACTCGTGGTTTGTCACTTTGGTCTTTTGATGGTGTCTTGTAAATTCAAATAGTATCATTTTAGTGATTTATTAATGTCTTTGAATGATCTAATTCTTCTATGTTTTTATTCTGATACCCTATTTTTAGCTTCTTCTTTCTTTCTTTTTTTTGGGTCCAGTCGGGGGCCTGAACTCTGGGGCTGGGCGCTGTCCCTCAGCTCTGCAGCTCAAGGCTAGCGCTCTACCACTTGAGCCACAGCGCCACTTCCGGGTTTTTTTCTTTTTGCTTATGTGATGCTGAGGAATCGAACCCAGGGCCTCATGCATGCAAGGCAAGCGCTCTACCCCTGAGCCACCTTCCCAGCCCTAGCTTCTTCTTTGTACTAGCTAGGACTTTGAGTTTTTAATTTTGTTAGTAAGCTCTTCATCTTCAAGATTTAGTTTTTGTTATTGAGCTCTTCATTTTCAAGATTTAACAAATTTGATTAAATATTTTTTTATATCTTTATTGAATTCCTCTTTTGTACTCTGTCTTGTCTGTGTTTCATTCAGCTGAATTCTCTTTGAGCTCAGTTGTGGGTTTGTATCCATTTGAATTCATCACTTTAATTTTCATTGATCATTTTAGCATTGTCTTTTTGAAATTTTTTTTTTATTGTGAGAATACCGTACAGAGGGGTTACAATTACATGGGCAAGATAGCGAGTACATTTCTTATCAAGCATTGTAGCCTCGTTGTTTCCCCTTCCCATCCCTTCCCATACTCCTCCCCTCCCCCCTCCCGGACCTCCTCCCACTCCACACCAAAGTTGTTAAGTTCGTTTTTCGACATAACGACTTGTACATCTCATTGTTGCAATGGGTCCTCCTGTATCCCTAGTTAAATGATTTGTTTTTCCCTTCCCCTCCACAAATTATACCAACATCAAATACAGTGATAGCAGGGGTTATACTGTGGGGGAGGGACATACAAAGCAACATAGAAATCATCTTATAAATATGATAGAAACAATTGCATGAAAGGAAAAAAAAACATTTGAATACTTACCTTGGGGTTCATTCCCCTAACATCAACTTATCTGACTTTTTCTGCTTGACTCAGACATATACTTGTTATTGCAAATAAGGGAAACCATGGGACCTATGTTTCTTTGGTCTTGGCTTACTTCACTTAATATAATTTTTTCCAAGTCTTCATTTTCTAACAAATGGGGCAATGTCATTCTTTCTGATGGAGGCATAGAATTCCATTGTGTATATATCCCACATTTTCTTGATCCATTCATCTACTGAGGGGCATCTGGGTTGGTTCCTTATCTTAGCTGTGGTAAATAATGCTGCAATAAACATAGTCTTGCTGGTAGCTACAGTGTGGTCTTGTTTGTGATCATTTGGGTTAATGCCCAAAAGCGGGATTGCTGGGTCATAGGGGAGCTCTATGTGGAGTCTTTTGAGGAACCTCCATACTGCTTTCCAAAGTGGTTGAACAAGTTTACACTCCCACCAACAATGCAGTAAGGTTCCCTTCTGTCCGCATCCCCTCCAGCATCTGTTGTTATTAGAGTTCTTGATTATAGCCATTCTAACTGGGGTGAGGTGGTATCTCAATGTTGTTTTGATTTGCATTTCTTTTAATGGCTAGGGAGGTTGAGCATTTCTTCATGTGTCTATTGGCCATCCTTCTTTCCTCTTCAGAGAAGTTTCTCTTTAAGTCTTTCGCCCACTTATTTATTGGGCAGTTGTTTCTTTGAAGATTTGTTTTTGGGAGATTTAATTTTTTAAGTTCAGGTATATTTTAGATATGAGACCCTTGTCTGTTATATGGCTAGTGAAGATCTTCTCCCAATCTGTGGGCTTTCTATTGATCTTGGGAGCTATGTCCTCTGCCATGCAGAAGCTCTGCGATTTCATGTAATCCCATTTGTCCAACCTTTCTTTGATTTCTTATGTTTTTGGGTCTCTTAAGAAAATTTTGGCCTGTGCCAAGGAGACCTAGGGTTTCTCCTATTCCACCCTGTAATGTTTTCAGAGTGTCTGCTTTGACTCTGAGGTCTTTGATCCATTTGGAGTTGATTCTGGTGCAAGGTGATATATAAGGATCTAGCTTTAGTTTTCTACAAGTAGTTAACCAATTTTGCCAGCACCATTTACTGAAGAGGCTGTTGAATTTGTTGTTTGAAGTGTCTTCCTCTCCTCAAGTTCTCTATGGTAGGGCCATTAGTTTTGAGGGAGACTTGTTGCTTTGTTTTGTTATAAATAAGCTCTTCAAGACCCAGTGGAGTCACAATGATAGACACAAAAATAAAGAATTGTCTCAGCAAGGCAAAACTAACTTCTGCAGAAGAATGCACCATCAGCCGGAAAGCTGGCACGCGTGCACACAAATCAGGCCGGCTGCCGCTGTCTAATGCACGTGGCCCCACCCCTCCACTCAGATTGGCCAAGCTCACATTCACAATTGCTCGGATTGGCTAATTTGCATAGGGTAAGATGTATTTCTATAAGGTCACCGTTGTTAAAAGACTAAAATAAGATGAACAGTACACAAGTAATCTCAAAACATACCTGCACCTTCTGCTATTTCTTGATCCACCTGACCAGTGTCTTCTAAGGTGTGCTTTAATTCCATCTTGGAAAAACCAGTTAAGAGAAAACGTTACATTTCAAAAATACTTCCTGGTCCCAAAGCTGCTCCTCTGTTCTTTCTGCAGTAGCTAATCTGGTCTTGATAGAACAATCAAGGGCCTAGGCACCAGCCCCAGCAGGAACTTGTAAGCAATCTACTTTGCTCACAGATTTTGTGATTTCTCACTGAGGCAATCACACTTGTGGAACTTGTAGTCTCCTGTGTCCTTTGGGCTGTTGACAGCTCAAAGATTACCTAAGGCTGTAGTGGCGGGTTATGGTGTACTTTCCTATTACTGGGTTTGGAGGGACGGGGCTCAGTAAAAACGTTCTGTTTCAGTGCTCAAGACCCTATGTACAGATCGCTCTGAAACAGCAGCTGTTGCTGCTGATAGAGCACAGCCTGTGTTTATGGCAATCTCTAAGGAAGACCAGTTATCACTACTGTCCTGTATATTCCAGAAACATCCAGAAACAGTGACTTGATTCTGTATTCATTGAATATAGAAACAAAGACATGCTTTTGTGACCTTGGAGGCTTCACCCCACCCCATTCCGGGATGTGCCCCGCGATCTTGTAATGGAGCCTTCCGCCCTCTCCCCACCTGCTGCCCGTCTTCTGCCGGCTTGATCGCTGGTGTTATCTGCCTTCCCATGACCTCCTCCATGGGTCTTGATTTTTTTTCTTATTTTTAACTCTTCAGAATCTAGTCTGTGAGCTCTCAGCTGAGATGAATGAGGAGACCCAGAGCCTGAGCCACGTGCTGGGGAGGGGGAGCGGGGCATGGGGATGGGCAGGCCTGGGGGGGGGGGCTTGAGCCAAGTGTTGGGGAGGGGGAGCGGGGATGGGGGATGGGTAGGCCCAGGCGGGTGTGTGAGGGCCTGGCCGGGCTGTGTCCCAGATGAGGGCCTTCAGGTATAGATGCAGGATCCATGTTTTGTTCCTGTACTTCCTGGCGGCTACTTCCTGTGTGGGCCACTGAGCTGAGTATGGGCAGAGGTGGCCCTGCTGTCCATGTGGTTTGTAGCCTGTAAACAAGGGGCCCTTGACCCAGCTTCCTGTTTCTGGACCGTACCTGGAGGTGGTTGACATACACAGGGGTTCCTTGGCTGCTCTAATAGTGCAGCAGGCCAGATGCTTAAATAGCAGAGATTCATTTTCTCTACTTCAGACCCGGTGCCGCGGCTGGTTCCCGGGCTGTCTTCCTCCTTCTTGGGTTTTCATCCCGGTACTGTCTGTGTGCGAGTCTGTGATGAGAGGCGTCTGCTTGTCTCACTTTTTTTTTTTTTTTTTGTTGGTCGTGGGGCTTGAACTCTGGGCCTGGGTGCTGTTCCTGTGCTCTTCAGCTCAAGGCCAGTGCTCTACCGCTCTACTTGAGCCACAGTGCCACTTCCGGTTTTCTAGTGGTTTATTGGAGATAAGAGCCTCATGGGCTTTCCTGCCTGGGCTGGCTTTGAACCAGGGTCCTCAGATCTCAGCCTCCTGAGTAGCTAGGATGACAGGCGTGAGCCACCGGCACCCGGCTCTTGTCTCACATCTTTAAAAGACTTTTCTGGGCAGGAGTGGCCAGGCAGCTCCCCTCTGCTGCCCCGGCCTCCCGCTTCCCTTCACCCTGCAGGTGTTCGGCCACGGGAAGGCCAATGGGGAGCCTACGTGGGCCCTTCTGCTCACGGCGCTCATCTGTGAGATCGGCATCCTCATCGCCTCCCTGGATGCTGTGGCCCCCATCCTGTCCATGTGAGTGGCGGGGGGTGGGGGGGAGGGGGCAGGGCCGCCATCCTCTCTCCGGGGCCTTCCCTCTGGGGCCCTCACTTCCTCTTTGGAACCAGTGAACACACAGAGCCGCAGAGCAGGTCTTGCAGGCCAGGTGGTCGGTCACTTAGCAGGTGAAGCTGGTGTGTCTTCACACTGGGGCTGTAGCTGTCTGTAGCACGTGGCCGTGGTGGCAGGCCTAGGACCTGGGTCTTCTGGGAGAAGCTAGGCTGGAGGGACAGGGAAGCCCTATGGAGGGGTACAGTGGTGTGGAGGGGGCGGGAGGGGGGCTCTGTGTGGAGCAGGTGTGGGCAGGGAGGGGGCTCCGTGTGGAGCGGGTGTGGGCAGGGAGGGGGGCTCCGTGTGGAGCAGGCGTGGGCAGGGAGGGGGCTCTGTGGAGTGGGTGTGGGCAGGGAGGGGGCTCCGTGTGGAGCGGGCGTGGCGGGGCTCCAGGTGAGGTCTCTGTGTGATGTGCTGGCCTCATGTGGGTCTCACGGGACCCCTCCTGCTCAGGTTCTTCCTCATGTGCTACATGTTCGTGAACCTGGCCTGTGCAGTGCAGACTCTCCTGCGTACACCCAACTGGCGTCCACGCTTCAAGTACTACCACTGGTAAGACCGCCTGGTACTGGCCGTCAGGTGTGGGGGGGACTCAGGATACCAGCTGTTGCTGAGCCCCAAGCCCCAGGCTGACCAGTGAGGTCCGCTGTAAATCTGTTCCTGGCCCTGAGTGCCAAGTAGGCCTGTGGTTCGTCCTCAGACATCTAGGCAGACGCTGCCTGTTCTGTGTTTCATGTGCCACAGAGAGCGTGTGGGTGTGGAGCGGTGTCTCGCACCCTGGAGCTGCAGCTCCCACGGCAGGGCACGGGTCCCAGGCCCCACAGGTCTCAGGTCTCAGGGATGAGTGGGCACAAGCCCCACTGGCAGGAGTCAGGCGGATCTCCTGGTGTTGAAGGACGATTGTCACAAGGACAGAAGTGGCGTTCGCGAGGCCGAGGCCGTGGTAGGTGCGGGCTGAGGGCGTGTGGGCCAGAGTCTGAGCCACGTGTCCCGCAGGACCCTGTCGTTCCTCGGCATGAGCCTGTGCCTGGCTCTCATGTTCATCTGCTCCTGGTACTATGCCCTCTTCGCCATGCTCATCGCCGGCTGCATCTACAAGTACATCGAGTACCGAGGGTGAGTGGCCGGCAGTGGGCGTGCACTCAGGAAGGCAGGCTGCGTCACCTGGCAGCCAGGCCAGGCAGCTCCCTCCCGTGGGGCCTGCCTGGGCCTGATCTGGGGAGCACTGATGGGGCTTCCTTGGGTCATGTGGTCAGGCTTCGAGGTCTCTGTTTCCTTCCTGCCCTCGGTGAGGTCAGCCTCTCCCCCTCCCCCCCTCCAGCTTGGATTTTGGATTTGCAGCCTGAGAGCTGAGACACAGACAAGCCACAGACTCCAGCATTTATTGCGCCTACATCTGCATGCAGCATGTGTGGCTGTTAGTCTGTGCTTTGGCAGCTCTGCAGAGAGAAGTGCTGGGCAGGAGTGGCGTGTGCAGGGGCTGTCGGACCTCTGAGGAAGCCCTGGCCCCCACAGCCACCCTGCTGCTCATGGTCACCGTCCGAATGGCGCCTGCCCTCTCCCCGCGCTCCCCCTCCCCCTCCCCAGAGCCCTTGTCCCCTGTGGCCTGCCCACCCTGCCTCCATGTGGCTATCCGGCCGCTATCCCGCGTGCTTGAGACCAGCCTGGCTTGGTACCTTCCCATCAAGTTGGGGCTGACTGGCTCTTGTGCTTCCTGTCCCCGAGCCCACCTTCATGGCCTGGGCTGCTTGCTGTTTACATTCCTGGAGGACCCGGCCTGCTTGTCCTGCAGCAGAAGCCCCCTCTGCACAGTTCCTGGTGGGTGGGGGCACTCCCAGCAATCCCTTGGTACGTGCCTGGAGGGCTGGCCACTCCCTGCTGGGAGGTCTGGTCTCTGGCCAGCTCTGTCTGAAGTTACAGCTTTTCCCAGTTACCAAGTCTTTTGCCTGAGTTGCCCGTCTGCCCACAGTGGCCCTGGTGGTCAGTCCTCTGCAGGAGGAGCCACCGCTATCTCGGGTCTGCAGAAACCTCTGGATGTCCTATCTGACACTCCTTCCTGTGTGCTGCTGCTCCGTGGTAACACCTTCCTCCTTCCTGTGTGCTGCTGGGCTCCGTGGTAACACTTCCTCCATCTCTCTCACAGCGCAGAGAAGGAGTGGGGTGATGGCATCAGGGGCCTGTCGTTGAATGCTGCCCGCTACGCCCTGCTGCGGGTAGAGCATGGCCCCCCACACACCAAGAACTGGAGGTGGGTGTTGAGGCACAGCCCCCTGGTGGGACAGGGCCCGGGGCCAAGGTCTTCTGCCCTCAGCCTCCTGGGGCCTGGTCTGGCCATGAAATTGTTGTCAGGCAGCAGGCCTTGGCGTCCTGTGCCGAGGTGTGGGGCGGCTGGGCCCTGCCTCTCCTGGGCGGCCTGGGCCGGGGCGGAGGGGCGGGAGCCTCAGACGCCAGGCCTGACTCTCCTAAACGTCGCTCCTGTGGTGTCCCCGCCAGGCCCCAGGTGCTAGTGATGCTGAACCTGGATGCGGAGCAGGGTGTGAAGCACCCCCGCCTGCTCTCCTTCACCTCTCAGCTGAAGGCTGGCAAGGGGCTGACCATCGTGGGCTCTGTGCTGGAGGGCACCTACCTGGACAAGCACGCCGAGGCGCAGCGGGCAGAGGAGGTTGGCCGCAGCTCTGGGTTGAATGAGGAGGGCTGGGGTGGACGCTGGCCACCGAGGCCTCGGGCAGGCCGGCTAGAGCCACTGCGTCTTGAGTTGTTGAAGTGGGTCTTTGTATACTGCTCTGTGGATGGTTCTGTCAAAGGCAGCTTGTGGGACTAAGTGTGCAGCACTTGGGGATGGGGAGGCCCTGGGACCGGGCCACTGAGGGCCACCCATGCCCAGCGCCAGCACCTGCCTCCAGCCCCTTGTGCTCAGCTTTTCCCCTCCCAGTACTAGAGCTCAGTAGCTATGGTGGTCATGGGCTTCCCTGTGTCTGCTGGCCCTGTGGATGAGGGGGTGAGGAGCCCGAACTGCACCTGCTTGTGTGACCCCGGGGACCGGGCCCTCCCTGACACCACTTTGCCATCTGTCCATGGGTTCCTGCAGGACACACTCTACTCTTGACCACCTTGTTCACTGGTGATTTGTCAGAGAAGGTTTACTTCCTGGCTTGGAGATACTCGGACTGCTGCAGTCTGCCTGATCTCTGCTTTCTGTCACGGCTGGGGTGAATGCCTGCATCTTCCATGGGGGTGACCTCAGCATCCCATTCTGGCTGCAGTGTCCTGATCTCAGCTTCTCCCATAGCGAGGAGGATGGGTGCTTATCTCTACCCAACTCCACGTTGAGAAGAGGTCTCAACCTTTCTTCCCAAACTGGCCTTGAACTTCTATCCTTTTGTTCTCTGCCTTCCAAATAGTTAGGAAGACTGGTACCCAGCTACTTTATAGTACCTAATTTATAGCCAGATTGCCTTTTTTTTTTTCCAGTCTTGAGTTAGGACCTCATGCATGCTAGGCAAGTGTTCTACCACCGAGCTGTACTCCGCTCCAGTGGACAGTTTGAACCTCAGTGTTTGAGCTGAGCTAGCCATGCGCTTCAAGGTCTCAGGCTGCTGTTGGATGTCTCTGGCGTAGTAGCTCCCTGTCCACAAAGGCAGGAGGAGTCCTGGGGCCCATCTGTCCGTCAGACTCAGGTCTGTCCACGTTTCTCTCGGAGCCATTTCCTCTGATCCAACTGCAAGTTTGTAATGTACAATGAGAACAGTATTGCAGAGCCTTTTTAAGTCATAAAATCTTCTATAAGAAACCAAGCTTGTCAGGACTCCGGGCCTTCCCTCTGTCCAGTTGTGTGAGGACAGGGTCAGTGTTTTAGCCACCTTAGCTTCTGTGGACTTTGCCGGCCTATGTCCGGTGGTGTGAGGAGGCTGCGGCCTTGGCCGTGTCCAGGCAGGGGTGTGGTCCCATGGCCAGGAGGGGCGTGTCCAGGCAGGGTGTGGTGCCATGGCTGGGAGAGGCGTGTCCAGGCAGGGGTGTGGTGCCATGGCCGGGAGGGGCGTGTCCAGGCAGGGGTGTGGTGCCATGGCTGGGAGGGCGTGTCCAGGCAGGGGTGTGGTCCCATGGCCAGGAGGGGCGTGTCCAGGCAGGGGCGTGTCCGGGCAGGTCAGCATCTGCCCTTCCAGGAAGGACATCACTCTGCTGTGTCTGGGCAGGAAGTGCGCTGAGTCCCTTTGCTCTGTGTTGCCCCTAGCCAAGCCCTGATATGCTGGTCTATTCCTAAGGCCACATCCAGGGAACTGAACACAGCCTTCCTCCTCCTCCTATGGACATGCCATTCTACTCTCCTGTTGGCTCTTGCGTGCTGAACTGCACATGCATGCCTGTGTTTTCCCCGAGTGCAGGTGGAGGTAACAAGGAGTAAGAGTAAGGGCTGGAGGTGACCGGAGGGGCGAGGAGAGATTGGGAACTGTGTGTGTGTCTGTCTGGCAGACTGCAGAAGTGAGCCGTGTGATTGTGTCACCACAAGGTTGGCGTGGTAGCAACCACGAAAAGGAGGGAAGAAGTGGCCCTGGCCCTCAGCGTAAGCTGCCTGTGGCTTTTGGAGGGACACCAAGATTAGGCAGTTTGTAACAACAGACTTACTTGATATTGTCAACGTTAGCCTCTCTGGAGGAGGTGTGGGCAGGGCCGCGTGCCTGAGCCCTCCTCTTCTAGTTCTGGGTCTCTGGGGGTCTCTGGGTCAATGGCAGCATCCCTCTGTGGCCTTTAGCTCCAAGCCTGTCCTCTTCTATCTGAAATCTCAGCCTTTGCTCACAGGCACCCTTGCTACAGGACTCTGTCCACATAAGGCCATGTGCTCAGGCCTGGGTTAACCTCAGGCTGCACGCTCAGGCCATACCTCTTTGAGATCACAACCCACCTCCCCAAACTCACTCTGCCTTATGTGCAAAATGCACCCATTATACCATGCTGTGAAGGGTCAGCCCCCAGCATCTCTGGGTCAATTCCATCCCCCACCCCCTCACCCAGGGCCAGGCACTGGTGGGACCTGACAGGTCCTGTCCTCAGAGGGACTCCTGCACACCCGGGAGATGTGGAAATAAGGTGTCTATGTGCCCCCCAACAATCGCAGCATTGTTCCTGTCCTGAAAGGGGGGTCGGAGGCCACAGCCTGTGCAAGTGGGAAAGCTAGCAGGCAGAGGCCCTGTGCCCAAGCAGACCTGCGAGTCCGGCTGTTAGAGGCCAGCATTCCACGCCTCGGGTTGTGTGTGTCCAGCCTTCCCTTAAAACCTGTGCTTCTCCAGCAGCCCTAAAACGCACAGGGGGCTGGCAGCCAGCATTATCTGTGGCTTATCTGGTCCTCAAAATGTAGCCTTTCTTTAGCTGCAGGATTTGACTCACTGTAGCTATATTTTCAAGTGAATTAGCACATGGCCCAAAATGTCCTCCAGCCATAGTGGGTGGTTGGCTGTGAAGAGCACCAGGTGTCAGCGCCCTGCTGCGTTCTGCTTGTCTCCTGCACCTGGTGGTGCTCCTCACAGCTCACGGCACCCGCGGACCTGTGGCCTCTCCCCTCTCCCGGATGCAGTACGCCTGCTTGCCTTTCATGCACTGACTCTGCCCCTCTCCCGCAGAACATCCGCTCTCTGATGGGTGCAGAGAAGACCAAAGGCTTCTGCCAGCTGGTGGTGTCCTCGAATCTGCGGGATGGCACATCTCACCTGATCCAGTCAGCCGGACTTGGAGGCATGAAGCACAACACGGTGCTCATGGCCTGGCCCGAGTCCTGGAAGCAGGCAGACAACCCTTTCTCCTGGAAGAACTTTGTTGGTGGGTGCAGTGGAACTTTGTGGGTGTAATGTTGTGCCTGTGTGCTGTTATATCCAGTGCCCGCTTAAGAGTATGTGCTCATAGCCGGGCGCCGGTAGCTACTCAGGAGGCTGAGATCTGAGATTCTGGTTCAAAGCCAGCCTGGGCAGGAAAGTCTGTGAGGCTCTTATCTCCAATAAACCACCAGAAAACTGGAAGTGGCACTGTGGCTCAAGTGGTAGAGCGCTTGCCTTGAGCTGAAGAGCACTGGGACAGCACCCAAGGCCCAGAGTTCAAACTCCACGATTGACCAAAAAAAAAAAAAAAAGAGTATATGCTTATAACTGAGTGCCGGTGGCTCACACCTGTAATCCTAGCTACTCAGGAGGCTGAGATCTGAGGATCACAGTTCCAAGCCAGCCTGGGCAGGAAAGTCCATGAGACTCATCTCCAATAAACCACAAGAAAACTGGAAGTGGTGCTGTGGCTGAAGTGGTAGAGCGCTCACCTTGAGCTGAAGAGCTGAGGGACAGTGCTCAGGCCCAGAGCTCAAGCCCCATGACTGACAGGATAATTAAAAAAAATGTGTTTAGGGCTGCTAAAGCCCTGGACCAGCTGTGCTAGACAGACATATGTCCTCTTGAAAGACTGCAACCCTCCTCTTCTCCCCTCCTGCTCTGCCTTTTGGGGAGGTGCCCCCTGCAGGCCTCTGGGTCTGGGGGAGCTGGTGACGGGGCCTTCCATCTTCCTGCCCCATAGAAGGAGCTTTGTGTGGACCCCCATCCCCCCCACCCCCATAGCCTGCTGCTGTCTCTCCACAAACACCTGCCCTTGTGTGATCTGCCCGTTTGTCTCCCAGACACCGTCCGAGACACTACCGCGGCCCATCAAGCTCTGTTAGTGGCCAAGAACATCGACACGTTCCCACAAAACCAGGAGCGTTTCAGCGAGGGGAACATCGACGTGTGGTGGATCGTGCACGATGGGGGCATGCTCATGCTGCTGCCCTTCCTGCTGCGCCAGCACAAGGTGGGGTGCTGGGGGCGGGGCCCGGAGGGAGGGGCGGGGCCCGGAGGGAGGGGCGGGGCCCGG